TTCCCTTTCTTGCATCTCACTGGCAGGAGCTACACACACCCCTATCAGCTGTTTCTCTTTGTGCAGGAGAAAACAGAGAAGGTTATAAAAAAATGTACCTGGTCACTTGACCAGACAAAGCTCTTCACGGAAACATGCTGGAGCAGCTTCTCAAAGCTCAATGCCAGCTCTGTGTGCTGTCCCTCTTCGCACCGGAGTCAAATCTATCCCTGCCAACATCAGCCCCAGCTTAATTGCGACAGGTGAGAGGGCACGGTTACGAGGAAGTTGGCAAATGAGGATAGTGAGAGAAATAAAGCGAAGGAAGCAGGAACAATTAATACTGCATGAAAATGAACCAGTTTTGCAACAGAGAGAGGTTTCTGGAGGGAAGTGGATGAGAGGTGTGGGGTTGCTTTGGGATGAGAGGTTGCTTTGGTCTGCAAAGGAAGCTTTTGGCAGCTTTTTGATCTAACTGGATTCAAATGGTTAGACTTATTTGCCAAAGGAAAAAAAAAAAAAAAAGCTTCTTTTTGATGATACACACACAAAACACAATGAGGTTTCATTTAAGTGAATAAACTCACAACTACTGCTCTGGAGGGTCTGGATGTGAACCAGCAACAGCAGTGTTAAGTCATTTCAAAGCGGAGTGAATGCGATTTTCACACCTATTCTTTTTTAATTTAGGCCCATTTGAAATCCAAGCACCCCTCTATTACTAATTTGTTATGGCAATATTAATTAATGATTTTGCTCTACGGCATTAAGAATGCTGTTTAGCCTGAGTGAGATAGATTAGAAGGACTACAAGATTAGAAAAACAATCTGTAAACTGGTCAGATGCAGTTGGGGGTCACCTTGATCACTCCTGAAATGAGCACACTGCACTTGGAAAGCCTGGGAGTGTGTGGATGTATTTCTACCAGTGCAGACTCATTAGGGCTGGTTAGGTCAGCACCCTTTGATGTTTTGGAATATAAGAACATCAGCTCCCAAGATGGGGAGAAACTATTGCCAGACTTGGATAAAAGCTGATAATTGAAGAAATTTTGTATTATTTGATGGACAATATGGGTTCAAACCAAGTATGCTAGGAAACAAGGAGCAATATTTAGTAACTTAGAGAAGACACACAGTGATGCATTGTAATTTCCGTTCTCCTGACTCATTTTATCTCTGCCATTAGTTTAGCAGATCTCCAGGCTCCTATCTTGGCTACTCTGATCAACATGGTGTTCCCATCTCAGACCATCAATAGTATTCATCTTGCACTTCAGTGGCATAGCACAGGTAAGACATTTGGTTTGAGGAAGAACAGTAGCTGGCAGATTGAAAGGCAAATCTTGTGACCATTTCAGCTGGTTCTTGGGTTATCTCAGCTTCTATTGAATACCTTCTATTCACCCTACACATGGGCAAGAGCTCAGGTCCCCGAGCCATCATTGTACCTGTACAAGAATGACAGAAGTGGATCAAAGCACTGTTGATGGTGGTAAAGAAGTCACAATCTCAATTATTTTGGCTTTAAATTATGAGATTAAATTTTTTTTTCCGGTGTAAAGTGTGATATGCTTTTGTTTATTTTTTGGGTATAATTTTGTAGTCAGCCCAAACATGTTGTGGAACAATCACAGGGAAGAACATCAGAGGCACAGTGATGTTCTTTCAAGAAAGCACTGGTATTGTAAAGTGTTCACAATTTCATGGTGGGTTTTCAGCATTGGCAGGTAAGGGGCAGGAGAGGCAGCTGAAAAAGCAAGGTGGACTGCAGCTGCCCCAGGGAATTAATCTATTTCTGGCTTTGCTATTCTTGCATTTCTTTGGTTTGCCTGAATCAGAAGAGACCAAGGTGTCAGGATTTTACATCTATGCTCTGCATTTCCTGACGGTTCAGAAAGCCTCCTGTGTAGGCAGCACCTCTCAGGACAGACTGGAGGACACGGTGCCTCTGTTGACATTTTACACTGAATCTCCCTTGGTCAGCAGAAAAAGTGGCTGTCAGTCTGAAGGCATGCCTGAGGCCCAGGCTGAGGGACGCCAGGTCCCCTGGGAGCCCTGATGAGCAAAGCAGAAATGTCAATGGTTGGGAGGCCCAACTCATAAGGACATTTGAACTTCTTTGACACTTTCTTGGACACTCTGAAATCCACAAGTTCAGCACAACTGGACTACCAGTATTACAAGATTTTTGGCTTGGCCTGTTTCCAGCCAGGCTGTAATCAGGAAAAGCCAAATTCTGGCCTCCTAACACCACTGATAACAGCAAGGAGAACAGGAACAGAGACATGCAGAGTTGAAATATTCTTTGTAAAGAGCAACCACAGAGATAAACATACTCCTGGATACTACAAAAGACTCAAAATGTAGGTGAAACTGTTACAGCTGATCTTGTTTGCCTGTCCCTACTATCAATGAGTTAGCTATCTGATATCCTAACAAATATAATGATACACATGAAAAGAGTGAATGGTTGAATGGGACAATAGTTACTTCTTATTCTGTGAAGAAAATGACCCCCCCTAATATTTCAAATTCTATCCCTGAGCTGTTTGGTTTTCAGGGTGCTCTACTGCTTTTAAACACTTTTAGACACAAACCGAGCTGAGCCTACTAAGTAGGAACAGCTTTGAAAACGGCTTGAAATGTGTCCTTGAAAACGTGGTTTGCAGAAGATCAAGGAGACAAGAAGGAGCTGAAACAACTTTTGGAGCAGCTGGCTCTGATCACAGCTCAGTGAGAACTACACTCTCCCCAGTACGGTTACCACCACTTTGACTGACCAAGCAGACAAATGGGCTGTCTAAAGCAGTGAGCAAAGACAGTCACTTGTTGAGATACTGCATAACACAGCAACAACAGTAAAGATGCTTCTGGATTTAATGCTTAAGCTATAGCCCAGATGAAGTCAGTAGTAATACGTCTGTTGGTTTCAGTGGAAGTTGGGTTATGACTTAGGTGAGTAACACAAACTTGGGTTTTGTGTCACAGCTGCTATGTCTATTGATGAAAGCAGCTAGTAAGGAGGTCAGCAGAAATCAGTGTTAAGGCTTATCTCTCAATTAATGTGCTGAATGCTGGCATTAAAAGTGCCTGAGTAATCTTTTAGTTGGACAATACATAACCACTCAGAAAATACTGACAGAGAAAGTTCAATGACACCTTTTCACTGACATTTATAATTCGAGAACAGTGAGGAGAAGAAGATAAGGAGGGCAGAAGTCTACGAAAAAGAGAAAAGGCCATAAAAAGGGGAATATACCCTGAAGAATATGTCGCCTATTGAACAATTGGGGACCCAGGTAAGAAGTGATATTCAGGTAGATGATCGTGAAGCCAAGCAACCAGGGAATATTTCAGAGCGCTCAGGAACTGAGGCAATGATACTTGTGGTGCAGTTTCAGAACATGACAAACCATCGGTTGATGAATGCATGGTATTTACCTGACAACCCACCCAGCAAAGTTCACTGGTGGCAGCAAAGCAGCCAACAGGACAGGACTAGAGATTCGTCCTTATATCCAAGTGCTAGGTTTCCATGGGGAAGGTAAGGCATGTTCATCAAAACATACTACTTTTTACCAGAACTAATTCGGGCAGTAAACAGCATAGATTTCTCATTTAAAACTATCTGCACTTTGGAGGAGTACTGGGAGGATGGAACTGCCAGGTTGGCCAAGGCTTCCAAAAGGCAAAACACTCTGTGAAGGTCACTGCTATTATTAAATTATGTTGTTATCCCACTGGTTCATGGAATTTACAAACCAGAATTAAAAGGAAGAGGTGGAGGATTATGAATTTCTTACATTTCTCATGTTTCATTTTTGGAAATATAGGAAGGAAACTTTTGGGTCACCAAATATAATTCCTGGGTCCTGTAGGCAATCATGTCACCTAAAGGATTCATCTCCTATCAAACTCCTTGAACGTCTAATGAACATCTTTACTAATGTTAATGAGAATTGCTACTAATAATTTGCATTTACACACTACTTAAGGATCTTGAAGTGTTCTTTCATATAATATGCTCATTTTTATTACAGGCATATTGGATTTAAATGACTTGCCTAGGGTCTCGCAGCAAGCCAGCAGCAGAATGACTCTTAGTGCTCCCAGTGCTTTACATTAAATCCTGGACATTAACAGCTCCCTTCATAAAGGGAGCTTTGTAGCGGTAGATCACCTCCTGGTGCTGGTGGATCAAACCTTTTATGATAACGCAAACAAATCAAGAAATTACTTGAACCCATGCAATGCTTCCCAATGTGTGCAAATCCTGGCTTCCTTTGAACTTAGAAAATTGACACAAGTCTGAGTAATGCTAAGATAGCCTTCGGCATATGACCAACTATGAAATTTTGCTGTGCTAAGTATGTGCCTCAGATCTACATTTTCTGTATGAATACAGCAGTAATCTCTACATTTGTTCCAGAAAAACTTCAGAGTTTTCAGTGTCCCTTGTGCTGTTGGAGGCATATTTGAAAACAAACAAAAAACCAACCCCAAAAGTAAGCCTATAATAAACAAAAATCCTTATCTTTTTAAGTGGCAGAATTGTCTGGAGAGTTTGCTCTGATACAGACACATTCCTTGTCATTGCTGTCTCCTCTGAATGGCACTGTCCTCATAAAAAAATTAACTCTGAAAGGAGGATATGGGGCATCCCTTTGTTTATGGGCTCCTTTCTGTCAAGAAAGATGCAGTACCACTGAATGACCTGATTTTTCTGCCTGTGTCAGTGTTATCATTCTCTCATTGGTATTTGCTCCTACATTTTGCCCTCTCATCTATGCCTCCTTTGGAAAGGGCTGCAAATTGTACCCAACGATTTCAGGATACAATTTTTCAAGCTTTTGCCTGTGGCATCTGGCTCTTTCTATGAGAAAAGAGCTATTTTGTGGATGGCACTTGCTATAACATCAGAGGAACCATCTGGTAGAACAACAACGGCTACAGCAATGCTGATCCCATTCATTGAAAAAGTTCCTCCAACGTGGTGGTGGCTACCCAGGAGCTCTCACCTGTGGCAGATGGTGACATTTACTCCTGCTGGGAATGTGGCTGGGCAGCCGAATGTTAAAGAGGGCCTGCAGGGCCGCCTGCGCTGCTTGACCCTTGGCCAGCTTCTTGCTACGTCCTGAGCCTTCAAATGTTCTCCCGTCCACTCGCACCGCCATCACAAAACTCTTGATGTGCTGCTTCTCCACCGTCTCCGACAGGCAGACATACCGCAGGCCTGACCGCAGCTCGTTTAGCAGCACCACTGGGTTCTTCTCGCTCTCCGCTTTGGATGCCATCTTGTGCTTGTTTTGCTTACTGTGGCCCATTAAGTCCAGCGTATGGCAGAGCAAGCGCCCGTGTCGATAAGCAGTGGAAAGCAATTCATTATTAACAGGGTTATAGACTGAAAAGTCCTCGCTGTGTGTAGATGGTTCAAACTCCTTGAACAGAGTATCTGGAAAGTCTGCCTGATCAGAAGTAAAGTCCGTGGATGGGTTGATGCAGTTCCCCATGGCAAAGTGAGCTTGGCAGGCATTGGGGAACTGAACGAACGACTTCAGAGCTAGCTCCGCAGCGCGCATTTTGGCTTTCTTTTTTGTGGGCCCTGTGCCTTCAAACGTAAGTCCATTTACTTCCACAGCAACAGCAAAGACTGGAGCATGCACTGGACCTGTCTGGGAAACCATTTTGTATTGTAAACCTGGTTTAAGTTCATGTAGCTGAACCAGAGCGTTCTTTGGCGTCACTGACCACGAGACTTTCTTCCAGATGAGCTGGAGTTTGCAGAAATGGCCATTATTGCCTTCCTCTAAGGGTCTTTTTCTCTTACTACTAGGTGTTCCCCCTCTTGCCCTCTCGTTAGAGGATATTGGATGATCCTCCAGGTTGCCAATGTTTCGATTTTCCTTTACTTCTGCACTGCTGGTACCTGTCAGTAAAGAAAGAAAAAAAACCTCACATTACAGTTGTCATCATTGTAGCTGACATTATGCCTAGGCCTGGCAGAATAGCCAAAAAAGAAAAAAAAAGTTAATGATAGATATCCTTGCTCAGCTCTTTTTGGAGGTTTTCCTCAAATATCTGTATAATGATTGGTTTATTATTTATAGCACAGATTTTCTGCATGTCCTGAATGTTTACTTGTCTCTAAAGTTCTACTTGTATTAGTCACTAGCCTCCTGTTTTAAAAAAAGATTACGTCATTCAAAGATGAAGCATAACTGATGCCATGTGACTTAAATGAACTACTGCATTCACACCAGATAATTACGAGTAAAAAGTGAATAGTTTGCAAAGTTCCCTTAGGCTGAGGTTTGTTCTATAGTCCATGTGGGTGAATGCTTATGAACACGTTATTAGAAATCAGAAATTATTCACAAATTATTCACAAACATAAAAAATGGGCAAACGCATTGAATAATTTATTTGCAATGAATACATTGACTGCCTCTACTCACACCATAGGCTCTTGTGTTGCTAACATCATGAATTCAGCCTAAGAAATGATCTGACAGACCTTCCTAGCATTTGAAATAATAATTTGGTCTGGACTCAGATTCCAGTTTCATAAGTGACCATCTTTCTGTCAAATTCAATTGCAGATACTCTTAGCTCCTGCATCAGCAACAACTAATATTGCAAACATTCTAGATAAATCTAAATGAGACTAGGAAAAGCTAGAGCATCGTGACAGTAGTAATTACTGATGTAAAGAATGATTTATGTCAAAGAAAAGCAATGGGAGAGAGTGACTACCAGGAGCTCCAGGAAGGGAATGAAATGATGATGGGGAGCTATGGAGGCAGCGCTCCGTTGTTGAGCCAATGAATCCCACGTTGCTCTCAACTACACTTGTGCAATGCCCGTGCTGCGAGGCAGTGCTCTTTGCTACAGCAGATGCGTGACTGAGAATGGAGATTCATCTGACTGATGTCCTGAATGAGATAGCAAATGTGCTGCTGTCTAAATAAGAATCCTGTAATGTTTCTGTCACTTCTGGTGACTTTGTTTAAATGTATTGCATCTCCGATACATCCTCCAATCCTCCTGTGCGTTCCTTGGGGCCGAGACAAGCTGTGGAAGTAAACATGGGTGTAACCAACCCTTGAAGCAACCCATCCCTGGAGCAATGCACCTGATCCCTTTCTGAGCAGAGCGCTGCCTGGCTGCCTGCTATATTCCAGCCAGCATTGATCACAGAGCCTTTCCCATGGTTTGTTATTGTCAGGCACCAGCATGCCACCTGTGCAAGCTGCGTGAGTCCCAAGCACAGAGAAGGTCCCTGTGGTCCTCAGAGGACAGCAAATGGTCCTCCCACTTTCTGCGGGGCCATAGCAACACTTGGTTTCCTCTCTACCCTGATGTACAAGCTGGCTGCAAGGATGTAAGGGGTGAGCTGCCGGCTACACCTCAAGGAGCTTCTGCTGGAGCGGTGTGTCTTTGCTGCAGCCCAGTATTAGGCTGGGCTGACAGATACACAGGACTCTGCAGAGTACTATGTGGAACCAACCATCATGATTAAAAAGCCCCTTTATATCCTGACAAGTTGCACTTGTATTAAATATCAAAACACTTTCTCCCATCAGAGCAATAAGTCTGCACTCATGCAAGTTGTTCCAGAGAAAGCAGCTCACTGCTTAGACATGAGTAAAAATCATGGCTCAGTTGCTTGTGTGGGGGCCCATTTGCAGGACTGAGTCTTTAGACTCCCGTTCCTGAAAACCCTTCAGCACACACTGAGCTTCCAGCCTGTGTCTATGTCTCACCAAAGTGACTTGCAGAGCTAGGTGTTGCAGTGCTTTGCTGAGGCAGAACATGAACTGACAAATCAAGGTTTTAAGTGACTAGTTAATTTTTACTTTCTGAAGCTAGGGGGAGAGAATGAAGACAGGTGAGGAAGGAAAGAAAAAGAAGTAAATAATAGGAAAAGAAAGTTTCATCATTTGGCATTCAGCTGTATAAAATATGACATCTTTAAACCAGACTCTCTGGAAATAAGACATTTAAAAGGTCAGGGCAACTAAGACACAAGGATAATGTGGTCTTTTCTCATTGAGTTCACAACTATTTATGGAAACTCTGATCTAAGGGGGAAGGAGATGCCAACTTTAACTTTCCTTTACTTAGCCTGGCAGTGGCTTTGGCCAGCCATTTTCCACCATGACCCTTTCTCATGTTTCCATCCCACTCTGAATATGCCTCTTTGTTTGCATGTATTTTTTTTTAAATAAAGGTGGAATATTTTGCCTCAGACATACTTTTTAGCAGGAAGCAGGTTTGGTTCTGTATTTCACACCTCCTCTCTCATCTTACCTAATAGGTTTTTACAGAGCCAATTATGGTACATAACGATATTGTAGTCAGGAAGCATGAAAAGAAAGATAGCTCTTGCTTCACACAATATTCAGGTTTGAAAAGAATTTGTATTGATTATGCACCACTGAATAGGAAAACTCAAGGGGTTATTTGTATTTATAATTCATATTGTCTTATTCCAGCTGTTTTTTCTTTCATAGTCAGAGAACCACGGATTTGTGAACAGGAATGTCTGACCTTAACATCTTACCTTAATCACCCTCACTAAAACGGTGGTTAACTGAAAACATGGCAACATAAAATAAACATTACTTGCTTGTCTTAAATTCTGTCTTTGAAATTGTCTAGACCAGGTTTTGGCCAACAGGGAGTTTGCACTGATGTAGTGAAAAACATGCAGACACTCAAGTGTAAAACTTCCAGAGATCAGGCACAAAGCATATGCGGACAACGTGGGGTGTGTGAAGGTGATGTGCCTGTATTTATGGTATGTTTTGGCCTAGTTGCAGCAAAGGAAATTCATGCAAGTATCCTTACAGTCAACCATATTTCCAGAGGACCTGATCCTGAAACACCAGGAAATAGGTTAGTTCTTCACAGACTTCAGTGAGAGCTGCAGCAGGCCAAAGGTCATCATGGCATGTAAATCAGAGGCAGCTGAGATTCAGTGAGTGCTTCAGAAAGTCTGTGAGCCTGATGGACTTGTGTGATACCTGGCAGCTGCCGGGCAATGTGAAATTACTTTATACTTTCAGGTATCTTTGAAATAGGAGGTCTTTGAAATGAGTCTTTTATGAGACCTCTGTGTAGCAGACATAAGATTACCTCTCTAATGGTGGCACATGTACTTCTATTGTGAAATTCAGACAAAGCAGGCAAATGACACCAAACTACGTAAGATAAATACTGTAAGCAGCTGTAATAGAACAATCACAAGCAATTTTAGAAATGAAGAGCACTAAAAAGAAAGGGGTAAGTCAGAGGATGCACACAGGGAAAATGCAAAACTGTGGATCATTTTTAGTCCTGTTATCTCTCATAATGTGTTTGCTCTTGAGTTCCCAAAACACATTCTCTACATTTGGGGGGGGGGGGAAGAGATAGTAAAATATGGTTCTCCTATGATGCAAGGTTGAAGAATAATAAAATTGTAAGGGGAGGGAGTTAACAAAATGGAGAAAGAAAAATGTTACAACTTTTTGGCAATAGTTTCTTATTTATTGTGTAAGATTTCTAAAAAAGCCCCACACCTCTGCACTGTAATATTTCCTCAGGTAACTTTATTCATTGATTTTTGCAGTTTCACAAGCAAGTGGAGACATTGTAATCTTGTATTTGCTTCAGTAATTGAATGGGAGACAGTAATGCAGTTAGTGAAATATATTTATTTATGCACTATTCCTCAATCTTCTGTCTGATCTTTCATGTTTTCCTCCTTTTGGTCATTATGCACAGTAGAGTTAACCTAGAGAGTCTGCATCATCAAGAGCTTTTCAGAACTATAATGCATCACTAATAATGACACTGCCTATGTCTCTGGGTCATAAGGGCTCTGCAGAACTAGCCATCCGATACTCCACGCTACATTTGAAGAGATAATATTGTTCCTCTTGAAGGTTATTCTGCTGCCAAGCCAACTTCCAGGGAGGATGGGAAACGATAGGTGGTAGGTGGCATCTTCATTTTGGCTGGCACCTTCACTATTGAATTACAAGGGGCAGTACGTTATTGAAAAGCTATGATTTTGAAAGAAAGAATTTGAAATCTCTGTAGTATAGCAAACTTCTGATGCAACTGATAGCTCTGACACAGGAAGTTACAGGTAGGACTTAATTTTTATTTTTCTGCATTTTCATATCTAACCCCTGTTTGACCTGCTTATGTAGAGTATATTTTTGCTGTCCATCTACATCACATTGACTGCAGAAGTTAGAAGGATTGACCTCCATAATTCCTGGCATACTTGAAAATGAAAAATTTTAAATTAGAAGCAATAGGTATGAACCCAGGAGCCAGAGCCTCGGTACCTTTGTCCAAGGTCAGCTACTACATCAAATGCAATGTAGGGCGGTGTCCTTTTGCAAGCAAGATGGCATTTTCATTTACTTATTGAATCCACAACAGAGGATTGGAAACTCTTCTGCTGGAATTTTTAGGTTTGTATTCTTGACTTTAGAATAATAAACTTTTAGCTAACAACAGAAATCACTCCTTCCTCTCTTACATGAAAACACACAGATATGTATCTTTAAACCTTCACAAAAGAGGTCTACTTAAGGGAAACCTACCATGATCTCTCTGTTGCTGCTGAACCCTCCCCGCCAGCCCAAAGGGTTCAGGCTGTTTGAAACTGTATCATTAGGCTTTATTGGGATGTAACACCACATTGTGAAGGCAAGCTTTACCAGTGCAAAAAAGTACAGGACTTTGCTTAAAGTGAAGATGAAAAATTTGTGTAAGGTGGTTGCCATTGCCTTTAGCTGCTCTGGAATGAAGATACTCTACTTTGCCCACCTTATTGTCTGGAATAACTGTGAAATCCATGCACATTTAGTACAGCTCTTACCAATTAGGGAAATTATTCAAATGACCTAATGACCTGACTTGGATGATACTCAGACTCTGATGCTCACTGTCCAAGTTAGCAAATAAGTGCATGCATTAAAAAACGTGGGCAGCCCACAGCAAAAACGGATCTAAGTACATGCCTTCCTGAATCAGGCCCAGACTACAGCTTAGCTGTGGGCATGGGAGAAATCCAAACGATGGCAATAGACACAGTTTTCAGAACAAAAGCAGAGGGTTTGATTCTGTGGGGGATTACTTGGGGTTCTGATTGCTGGAAGGGGATATCTACTGTCTTCTTAGAGGCAGGGTCCTTGCTGTATCTCACACGGTGCAAACAAAAGCTCTGGTGCCTCATGATGCCCAAGGTGGACTTTGACCAACATGCTTATGACTTCAGTACACTGAATCTGGGGCTGGATTCATCCTACAAAGCTGTTGCAGGAGCTGAAATCCGTATGTTGGGGACCATCGCCATCATCTCCTTCTGCAGGCGCTGGGGAGAGGTATACACCTTCAGAAGGGCACTGCACCGAGTTTGTGCATAGGACAGCATTGCACGATGAGAACACCAGGAATCACACGCTCCTGCTGGGGGTACACCCTAGATTTGCAAGTACCTTTGTCTGGTGGTAGTCTGTCTTGATGCCATGGCATAGTGTGGACGGAACGATTAAAGATCAGGGACAGGCAGAGGTCTGTAACATCGTGAAAGGCAGGCAGGCAGGTAGTGAATGATTATTCACTGTTTCATGCAATCCGAGCACTAGAGACAGCAGGCTTGAAGCAATAAAAGGGTGCACTTTTTGACAACACAGTAAATCACTGAACTTTCTGTTCCTGGCTGTTGTTGAGATCAGAAGTATCAGTGGGCTCCAGAGAGGACTAGACAGGTCTGTTGATGTCTAAGAAATATGATGATTCAAGTGCAAAATCTAGCTCAGTAAATTACTTGCTGGGTGCCAGAGAGATATACCAATGGGAAGATCACCATTTAAATGTCCTTTTTCTCAATGCATCACTAACAGCAAATTTTGAAGAGAGTGTAGAGAGCTAAACTTCCTATTTCTAAACCTGTGTGACATTTCTTATATTCTTAGCTAATTTCAACTTCTGGGAATGAATAGGGTGGTCCTTTTCTCACATGTTCAAGATAAGGTTTTCATCAGAGACTGATGATTAGTTTACTCAAAATGCCATTCCAAAGGTGCCTAGTGCCTTTGATACATTTTTCTAGTATTAGTTCATGGATCATAAACCACAATAATAGTGTCTATATGCTAATAATCACCAGTTGAAAATGCACATGTAGTTAACCTGGCATGGCTGCCTTTGTAAAGAAGGCCTAAAGGAATATGAAACAGGATTTGAATCCGTTTCAGCTAGTGGGACTCTGCCTATAGATATAGCACAGTCTGGGAAGGGGCACTTTCACAGGATGCTCAGTGAGTAGAAAACTTACAGGGATAAGCAAACCACTTCTCTACCTTGCCAGCATTCTCCTGGGCTGCTGTTAAATTGTTAACACAGAAGAAGGTTTTGCTTATTCAGAGCATATAACTGAAGCTCTTTAAAATGCCAAATTACTACACAGGTACATATGTGCTATAGAAATCAGTGGGCTTTATACCACTATACCGGAAGTGAACACTGAAATATGGCTGATTTTAAACTAATTCGTCCTTTTTTTTTTTTTTTTTTAAAGATTCTAATAGTAACACCTAAAAATGTGTTGCCAAGAAACAAATCGCTGCCTTATCACTGGTGTGTATGTTTGACCCAAGAGAGGACTAGGCAGGATGTCCCTGAAAACAGTGAAATTTGCTATTTCTCTTTCAGAAAACACAGCTTACCCTGTCCATGTGAGTTATTTTAAAGCCAGTGCCAGCTCGAAGCAATCTTGGCATTACAGCAGCAATAAGAAAATGGTGTTACAGTGTTTGGCTTGTACAAACTTCCTACATTACCTAAAAATAACTAAGTAGCACATTTGGGAAACATTACGCAGGAGGTGCCTGCACAAGCTCATCATGTGCATAATATGTTTCCTGTGTGTACTTTTCATATCTCTTCCTGAAAATGTAGCCTCCCTGAGACCAATTTTGAAGGATTTTCAGGATTTTTTTTGCCTTTGCTAAGGTATGTAAAAACCTACCAGTCCCTGTGCAGCAGAATGGTGTGATGTCCATGTGGTACTCAGCAGCAGAAAATAGAGGGCTGTGCTCCTTCACTCCTTCAACAGCTACTCCCCTTGGTGCCGCACCGTGATCACACCAAGGCAGATTAGCAACGACGGGGAAAAAAAGCCCATTCCTCCCACCAACTGGCTCTAATAGGGCAACATGTCAGTGTGTGTCTGGCTGGAAAAGAAACCCATCTGGAAGATGATACTAAAACTCGAAGAGTTGCTCATTTGCTTCAGAAAGCTTCCCTCCTTTTTTTTTTTTTTAATGATTCAAGATGCGTTACAATAAGCAGGACTGGATAACACACAGTAATTGCTTCTAGGCGATAAATGGGAGGGCTTGCTAAGAGTTATTCAGTCCCAACTGCACCCTCCCAGACTTCTTGGTGTTTTGAAGAGTTCACAACTCCTTCAAACCCAGCAGCACTTTCCTCCAGGTCTGCAGTCACGGGTTCGGGGAGTCAGTGACTTTGTTCAGGTGTAAGGGCCCAAGAAAATCCAGTGGCTAATTTTTGGGTTACATCTAGTTTATTTAAGCCTGGTTAATCATCTTTTCTCAATTGGATTTGGTTTCTTTCTTTCTTTTTTTTTTTTCTTTTATTTTTGTTCTCCAGGTCATATCACAGAAGTAAAAGAGAAAACAGTTTTTCAAGTAGAGGGCTTGTTCCTGCAATCTTTACTTTTGCAAAACTCCTTTTGTAAGCAAGGAAATATAAATAGGGGAAAGACACAGCACCAAAACGTCCTGGGGTTTAGGGATTGTGAGAAAAGCAAGTGAGCAAAATAAGGTAACATAAGCAGGAAAGGAAAAGGAGCTTCACAGACCTGCAAACCAGAATGTAAACATCTCCTTTTGTAGGATTTTTTCCTTTGTGTTTGTGACACACCACTTACAGCCCTGCCGTGCCAGGGTCTGCACAGGGAAAAGTGGGAAGGTGAGCTGAGGTTAACCCTTCCTTCACTGGAGATTGGAGAACATGTTTGCACTCAGCGTCAGGGAATTTTGCATTTTACATGAGGACTGGGCTTATGGCCTGCCAATATTTGCAAATCCACCTCCTTTCCACAATTGCCCCTACACCATAAAGCTTTTGTCTTTAAACTTTATTATCCATCTGTCTATAAAGAAAAGAGACTGCTTACTTAAATTGTCTTCATCCTCCATGGTGGTTGTGCCAGGACTCAGATACTTGAAGGGCGCTATGAAGGTGGACAGTATGCTTACTTTTTCTAGAAGAAAACAGAAGAAAAGAGACATATAAAATCACTATTTTGTCAGTGCATTCTACTGCACTGCAATCTACTCCACACTTTTTTTAGGTGAAAACATCTCATCAAATCTGTTTCTTTTTTTTGTTTTTCCTGACTCTACAGCCCCACCAAAATTCACAGAACTGCAATACATTTTTTACAGCTGGCACATGCAAATACCAAATGCACGTCCCTCCTGGTTTCTGCCCCTGTGTGGTGCTCCTTGGCCATGCTTCCCAGCAATGGTGCCTGAGCACTGCAGAGCTGGGAATGCAGGAAGCTTGAGCTGGTCCAGCTGGGAATGGGGGAGGAGGGTGGGAGCTGAAGGCGGTCAGCCCTGGGAGGAGGGACATGGGAACTGCTCTAATGGATGAGACCATCAGTTTACCTCCTCTTGTTTCCTCTCCCTGACAGAGGCTGAACAAGAAGTCTCAGAGAAAGCTCAAGTGTTGACGGCACAAGACGCTACAACTGCTTCTAATTCTTCTAGAAATTGTTGACTTGACTTTTGGAAAACTTTCATGGTCTGCACAGGAAGCTATTTTCTAAACAATAAGAATCCTATTTGAAATCCTTCTTATTCACATTTGTATTAAGTGTAGCTCCTTCTGCCTGCAGTTTCTGTTTATCCTGCAGATAGCAGATGGCACAGAAATTTACTTCCAGTGCCATGATCAGCTTCTGCATTAGATGCCAGGACAGATTCAGCAAAATGAGAACCGATACTGATTTATACTAGCTCAAAATTTGGCTCAGGATTTATCTATAGGGAAAAGTGCTGTTAACACAAACACTAGAAACAGGGGAATATTAACGATACGTGTTTTATTTAGTTTGTTAACTAGTTGATTTAGTTTGTTGTTCACTTTGTTTAGGCTGAATTCCTCATGACCCAAAGTATGGGTACTTTGCTGAGGCCTTACATCAACAGGGTGTCTACCTTAGGTAGCAGAAGAAACAGAAACACACCTTACAGAGGTGATTCATAGCTTTGAAGGACTTAGTTGCTTTCCTAAAGTACTTATCTGCTTAGAAAGCCTCAGTTAGGTTGAAATGCTCCAAATCCTGCACATTGCAAACAATGCTGGGCTTTCATTTTGTGGCAGAAGCACCAAAAACCAAACCTAGAATGTCTTCTTTCAGGTGACACAGGGAAAATGATTTCCTTGGGGACCTTCTTTATTGGTGAGAAAGTATTTCTCTGAATTTCCTTACGCTACCTGGCTGCTAATCTACCACTGGTCTGGAAGGCATTGCAGCTGAAGAGCTCCTAAACTTTTTCAGCAGCACATCTGTTAGCTTTTTGGCCTGGTTCTTCCTGCATTTGCAAATAATCCTTGCTCTTGCTGAAGACTGTTACCAGAATCCACTGAAAATGACTGCAGATGTTTGTCCTTAGCTAGGTAACACTACAGCTCAACTCTATTATGAAAAAGCACAGTAAAAGCTGAGTGCTTTTTGTTAAGTAAATACAATAAGTGGAATAAAAGATTGCCTGAAGAAAACCTTTTTCCATCCAGAAACCTTTCAGCCCAGACTAATATGTAATTAGAGCACAAATTAACCTCCTTGAATTGCAATTTCATTAAGGGATTGTAGTGATGTCATGAACCAAAAGACTGAAGCTATTTATGAACACTTTAGCCAAAAGATTTTCCTAAGTGAATACTTCGACACTTTTTGTTAAGGCATTGCTCACTCAGAAATGTGGTATCTCTGTATGACACTATCTCAGTGCATGTGAGACTGTTGGGTTGCCAACAGGATGAAGGCTGTTATTCACTCCCACCTCTCTCAACTGGTTTCTTTGATCAAAGTGAAAAGAGTGTAGGCTTTTGGGACCTAATCCAAAGGCTACATTTGGTAAGGGGAACGCTTCAGATGATAGACGTAGGATCAGGGCAGTCCTTGGCTTCAGCACCAGCAACGACTGTTGTGTCTGGATACTGAGATGCGGTGAGCTGAAGGGTACTCCGCCTGTGCCTGACTGCTGATGGCTGTCAGACCTTCAGAACTAGCCCTCAAGACACTGGATGTCGTACACAAACTTAAAGCTGCTTTGCTGAGAAAATATTCTCACTTCTCATAAAGAGTTCATCCATTAACCAAGCAATGAGGACATGTGCTTTCTTGCTGAGGTTGCTAACACCTATTCCTGTCACCCATCAAAAAGCAAACCCATGTAGTTTTATACTGTACTATTATTAGGTAAAGGAATATTCTGTGATTTGTCTTTCACCCCAACCAATTTTGTGCAATCGACAGGCGAGATTTACAATGCGGATTGAAAATTTATCAAATTATTTTCCCTTTTGCCTTAAGTGACCCTTTAGCCACTTTAAGCTTTTGTTGTTACTGTTTCCCACCTGTCCACAAAGACCTTGCTGGTGCCTTTGCTTTGTGTGGCAGAGAAATGGGGTGGCTTGTAAAATTTACTGCGCTCTTAGAGCAGCAATGGATGGGTTCGTGTCAACCAAACTCGGGCAGGCCCTAATAACAGGATATCCTTCAATCAATACAGACAATAAAGATTATAATTTAATATTTCAATGCATTGGTTGAGCAATGGAAGATTTAGTGTGTGTCTGGAAGAAGGAGGAGGGCAGGGTTTTTGAGTGAGTGATGTAAGAAGAGAAGAGCCACAGTATGGATGTAGCACAGATGAATTATTGAGCCTATGGAGGAGGGGAAGATAGATGACAGGATAATTAAATGTCGGTGTTTACAGGGAAATAATCTGGCTAGGTATAAAACTATTGGTATGACTGTGCACTTCCATCTTTTGCACATTATTGCCTATTACCATATATAGACCATAGGAGACCACAGTTTTATTGTCGATGATGAAATTCAGTGTTATTTTTGTTTACTATTTCAGAACAAGATTAGGAGAGTTGTGTATTCACACTTTATGTTCCCCGAGTATTTTAATGTCCATCACAGTTAGTCTTATTTCTAGCAGTTTGATGAAAACTTATGAATAAGAATAAAGGACGTGGCTAGATAGGAAAAAGAAAAAGCTATACAGAGCTTTAAAGCCTCCTTTTTTCTCTCACTCTCTTCTCCTCTGTTTGTTGTTTGGGGTTTTTTTTGTTTTGGTTTGTTTTTTTTTTTTTTTTCCAAAAGAAGCAATGACAGGTAGCCCAAAATTAGAGTGGCTATTTTTACTTTATAATTGTAAATGTTCTCTGTATTTGTCTGAGGAAATAATTTTTCAAGGCGAGGAGAGAGGGTCTAAAAGAAGAAAACAAGACATTTCAAAAACTCTTTTCTCCAGAAAGGCAGAATACATAACCCTACATTTATGAGGACCAATACAAGGAGCTATTATTGCTTGCATTACAATTGTACCAAAAGCCTCCGGTGACATGAAGGAGCTATTTTATGAGGGTCTACATGGATACAAAGGAAGCTGTATTTACAATGGAAACTGAGAGACAAAGAGCAGGTATAGTGGTATTTATTTCTAGCCACCCTGGAACACTAACGCAGGACAGTAGCATCATATTTTGTAGTGTATTCACCATAAATACATCTTTCCAAGTGATGCCAAGTGGGACTCTGCTCCAGTACCCTAAGCACAAAAATCACCATTTATCCTGATGAGAAGCCCCTTATAGGAAGAAACCTCACTCTCCTCTGTTTTGGGATGGAAAAGGATTTCAGTTGACACTTCTTAAGTATATTTTTTCCAAGAGCAGCAAATAGTTAAAAAATAATCATGAACACTGTTTTGACAGTAGCCCTATAAATCATTTAAACAAATCAAAAAAACATCGTCCAAGTTTTGCATGAAAAACAGAAAATTATTTAGTCCAAATGATTCAGCAAAGCCTGGCATACGAGGCAGAGAAGTTTCCACTAAAATCTGCTCTTTTTGTGAAGTTGCTCTTGCTCTGGGGATGCAGTCAGAAGACTGGTCACAAGTTCTGTAAATACGCTTTTATTGTGAAGACAAGAATACACATATACAGCTGTAAACAGTATTAGTGCCCTTCATACCTACCAGTATTTAAAGGGCACCAGACAATATGGCTTGGTCGCCAGACATACTGAAGTTCTTTCACTCTCAATCACCTGAATAAAAGCAACGGGAACGTCAGGAGCTCAACACTTTTAAAAATCAGGCCTTATACGTGTTGGACAAATTGTTTAGCTTTAAGAAAAGCAGACTGAGTGGGGTCATAACAACTGTCTTCAAATACTTAAAAAGCTGCTGCATAGAAGAAAGGAGCAAGATGTATTCCATGTGCATTAACACAACCAGAAGTAATGGATTTAAATTGCATCAAGGAAAATCCACGTTAGGCATTAAAAAACCTTCCTAACAGTAAGGATAGTGCAGCACTGGAACAGATTGTCTAGTGGGGAGGTTGAGGAGCCGCTGGTGCTGAAGAGCTGCAGGAAGATGGTTGGCATGGGCAGGGTGTTGCACCTGGCCTTGGGTGCATCCCTTATAGTCTCTTATCCCTGTGGACCCCAGTAGAAAACCTCATCCTGGTCTTGAGATCACGCAGTAGGTTCTAGCTCAAACTTGGAAAAGTGAGCAATATTTGCTAATACTAGCTAATCTCTGAGCAGAAGTTTGTGGTATGCTCTTTTGCTTGGCAGCTAATGAGCACTATTAATAATTGTTTTTTAAAATGCAACTTCTGAACACAAGAAGGATTAGACAGATGGCTACCAGTGGTTTGCCAGATCAGCATTAGCAATGTTTTACTGAATTAGTTTCATTCTCATATTCTAATTGATTACTGTAAGCTACTTTACTTGTCAGAGGTTTCTTTAATAGTATTCTTTAAAAAACACAACGTGGACATAATAGACCAGTCCTAAGTCATTCATTTGGTTTGCATGGAGTACGAAATTACTCAGGAAGGGTCAATTCTGATGCAATAATGTAAACCCAGCTGCAAAGCCTCTTGAAAAAACCCTTATTTTTATTTCTCTAAAACAGTATCTGCAGCTACTCAAA